CGGTTCTTACTTCCAAGTTCATTCAAAGATTGTGACTTTCAACAAGCTTAAGTGGGGTAGCGGTAACCTTGGTGCTTGCCATTGCAAGAACTTCCTGCTTCGGATTGCACTAGCCCCGCGTTCGACTCGCGGCTTAAGCAAGTTTCTTTTGACTTTTTACCATAACTCCCACCGAAATTTTACCTGCCGAGAGGAACAAGGTAAAAAATGTAGATGTCATGTGATCGCGTGAACATGGAACAAGATAGACAAACGTGTTCAGTAAACATCTCCGCCAGCACTACACCATGGTCAGCCTCGATTATTCCACACTTTATTCCAAAAGGTAGGCTTGGTTACTTTGTTATACCCGTCTCAGAGAAAATCTGACCGTTGTTATAGTTCTAGGCTACCACCGCCCCCATGTTTTGAGCCTTCATCATCCACTCCCGTCAAGGTGAGCAACCAGAAAACCACCAAAGTTTTGAGACGTTTCAAATTAATGGATTGTTCAATTTGGGACTTTTAGACTCGACCTGCGACAGATGGTCCTTTACCTCAACTAAAGTCTCACCAGGCTCTCAAAGAGAAGCGCGCGTGGGATCTTGCCTTTTCTCCGGCAAAGTCTCTCCCAATGAACGCCTTCATGCTTTACATGTCTGGAGGAGGTGTTCAGATTTTCAGTATGGGCATTGTAGCCATGTTGCTTATGAGCCCATTCAAGGCTATTGCCAGCATGAACTCCAGTGCGTGATTCCAGTCCTTTTTTCTTCTTCGGTGAAATGGCTCGAGTATTCAACTAATCCTCTCTTTTTGAACAGCTTTTGCCCCTTTTGCCCCATCAGGAGTACCTTCAAAGGCTACGTCGACTTTACTGCTCCAAAAGTTAGCGTTTATCGCATGTAATTTGTTAACTCTTGGGTTGGGTCTTTACAAATGCAAGTCGATGGGATTACTTCCTACGGGTTCCGGGGACTGGTTGGCCTTTGAGACACGCGGGGTGGTAAGTATCGTTTTCCACTCCACACAAACCGGTGAATAACAAGAATTCGTCACTTCTTAGGCACCGGAGATTTCCTTGTAATGTGTCGTATTTAAGGATGCTTATCGCTTTCTTTTGATTGATAATAGAAGTTGCATCCCCTTTACTTGGAGTTCCTCCTTATCAGTACCCCACAGAACGGTCGTGAAACTGCGTCTTGACATTGAAAACTCGTGAGAATAACGTAACTGCTAATGAGGCATACAAGAATGAGGTGGGAGGGATCTGTTTGAAGAGAAAAGAAGGCAAATGCCCAAAAAAAATTGAAAATATCAACAAGTCTTTACAAAAAACGATATAAGTATAATTTGAGAACAACAACAACGACGAGAATAATGCATGAATAAATGGATGTAATGGAAGCGCCGAAAAGTGGAAATGCAGAATGAATTAAAGAGGATAATATTTGGGTTTTATAGGTTACTTGCGAGAGAGAGCGGACTTCTTGGAAGACTTCATGCCAGGCCAACACCTATTAGCGAATCCAATCGCTTTAGAAGGTGTTGCGGATGCAGACTCGGTATCAGAGTACGACTTGGATGGAAGCAAGGAAGAGGATTCGGAGGTAGGGGACTTCTTGGGTGAACGACGAGAGGTGGACGTTTCAGATATAACTCGTCTTTCTCCAGATTCGATGACTGAGCCCGACTTTGAAACTGGCATGGTCGAAGGTCTGCCCATGCCTAAGCCGGTGGGTGTTCTGAGAACGCCAACTTCGTTGGGACCCAAGTCGAGTTGAAGAGATGATGCTGGAACTGTAGAGGACGCAGGTGATGACTTTGCATCCGATGAAGAGCTGGAGTGAACAAGTTGAGGTCTCTTCTCGGTACTTCGATGTCGTTCACGAGCGACCGGTAGGGGTGCATTGAACGGAGCAGCATAGGGATTTGTCCGCAATCGGACAGGAGGATTGGGAGTGCTCTTGGCTGTGAAATTAGAGAATGAGAATGTCTTGTGGCGCGAACGTTTGTCCTTCTCTTTCTCTTTCTCCTTCTCCTGGGAAGATGGGAAAACGGGATAAGATGTAGAAGAAGGCATATCGCGGGATGGAGATTCGGGAAGTTGTTCTCCTTGAGAAGATGTCTCTTTGCTGGGAGATTCGGTGACCGTGTCGAGCCGAGTATCCACTCCTCTTTCACTATCGCCATCCATTGACGAGGTAGTGGCAGAAGAGATGGTCGCGGTAGGAGAGAATGGAGCGGAATGGAGTTCCGAAGACAGATAACTCTCGGGGGACGCCAAGGGCTCCGAGACCAGCTTGCTGTCAGAGAACGCGTCAGGTGGCAAACTTCTCCTCTTGGATGCCTTGGATGAAGAAGAGTTCTTGCGACTTGGGTACAACATCTTCATCGAGAGTTGGAGTCGGTTCTTGGAGTCCAAGTCCTGATGAGCGGCTTCTGTTGGAGCTGAAATGGTGGATGCCCTTTGAACTTTGCCGATGGGTATCTCATCATCAGTTCCAGTGTCCTTGTCCTTGCCATTCTTGGCCTTGTGGCCCCGGCGTTTATACCACGCACCGAACCCAGAGGATGAAGTGGGTTGGTAGTCGACTGACGAAGAGCAAGATGCCTGACCGCTAGACGCGTACGAATCAATAGACTCGGAACGTGGGGGTAAGGAAGCGGGTCGGGATCGGTGAGGAGGGAACCGGGAGTTGATCGGGCTGTCGATGGAAGTCACCAGGCTTGCTGCGCTCGGAGATGAAGGATCGACTTTGGATGAAGATGGTTCGAGTTGAAAGGTCACTTTACGACTGGAATCAGAAGTATGACCCGAAGCGATAGATGGGGTGGGTATGCGTAATGCACTGGGTTTCTCGGCAGAGAGAAATTGACTTTCAGGATGTTCGGGGCGAGATTTGGTATGATGAGTAATGGTGCTTGGGTGAGGCTTCGCGCGAAAAGAAGGCAAAACACGAGCCAGTATTACGGCCCAAATGCTCTATATTACCGAGCATTAGGGGTTATTTAGGATCACACGTGATGTCCAAGAATGGTCAATTAGCAAAAGTCGTACGATGGAGAAAGCGCAGTAAACAAGATACTCACCACGAGCATGCCTCCAAAACCGAGGATGAAACCTACGATGGTTCCAATGACAACATGACTTGAGCTACTTGGACCGCCTTCAAATGCCAACTCCAATCTCCAAGTTCGTTGTTCAGTTGTTTGAGAATGTGCGCGGCGATGAGTGGCTTGAGTAGTTGAGCTAGTGCGCTGACGCGTGATGGAGAGAGAGGCACTTCTTGTACGAGTCGAGGGAGTATATGGGGGAGGAGGGGTTTCTTGTTGAACTGATGTTGATGAGTCTTGCTTATGAAATGGTACCTCACGGGCCCCGAGAGTAGTTCCCCCTGGTTCATCAGGAGGAGTATCTGAAGGTGGAATCATATGAGAGACAGAGTCTGATACAGTAGTGGTTATGGTTGATAGACGATACGCAGCCATTGCAGCGGATGAGACGATGGATGAAAGTGGACACGAAGTGGATATTGGCATCCGAAGAGATGAATGCCTGCGAATGATTATATCCGTGACGGGTGGAAGACCATCAGTCAAAGGCGGGATGAAGGGAAGAGAAGAGGCTGCGGAACCGATCGAACAAGCCTTGCAGTCGGACTGTTTTTAAATCCAAGGTTGAGCGTCTCAGAGGAAATACTCCTTTCTTTACATGAACTCACCGGAGCGTAATAAGAAGAGGTGCTTCGCTACAAGCGAGCCGAATTCCAGATGTTCCGGACGTAAGCCGAAGAGTCAATTGACAACTCCTGGATGACCTTTATCTTCGACTGCTTTCTTTCGCGGGAAGAACCAAGATATATAGTGGGAAATTCGCCCAAGTGGTACGAGTCTTTACAAGACCTCGGTCGATTTTAGAGTGTGGGACCACTTGAATCCAAAGGGCGGCCTTTTGTCGTCTCACCGACCGTTGCCTGTTTAAAGTGGAACGACTTGTTTCAACTTGTTTTTTACGCGCCCAGTCGTACGGTGGCCGGTGCCTGAAATCGGCTGATCCCGTCTCACAAATCTTTGATTATCTTTGTACACTTCTCAAACACTACTGTATGTACGAGACAAAGGCCGTTGTGTTGAGACAAGCCCGAGTGAAAATCCAACACCCTTTGATCCGCGCCGGTCTCATCGGCTGAATCACCTCGGGAGCAAGGTGTCAACACGTGAAACGGAAATGTGTTTCTTTCTCAGCAGATCTTCAACAGCCCATCTCCGTCATGTCGGCATGGGAGACGCGACATCCCTCTAAACTTATCGGCTTACATCGCGCACACGCGTTTCGTCATTTACTTTGGACCCCATTCTCTAATTAGACTCGCCATTACGACGTTGCACTGATGTAAACAATCTAATAGATATAACCTAATTTCCTAAATGAGTCAGCGTGATATGGTAATGCCCACTAATCCCATTGCCCACGTCCTGTGCGCCGGGGAGTGATTTACAATGCCGCACTATACCATGCACCACAAGATTTGAGGAATACCTCAATGCGTGCTCGAGTGTCTCCTCGTTGCATTGCCGATGGCAGACAATGGTGAGACAAGGTAGAATATGGTTAAAACCGTGGAAAACTACCAACCTAAAATAGTTAAACTATCTTTAGCAACCTTGATCCATCAGAATGTCTTTACTAAGATCACTCTGCGATCGGTAAGGTGAGTCCAGTGCAGTAAATCATGTCTTATCAATTCCATCTATGGTAGTGGCATCTTGCATGGTTGACCACACGTTGGTATGGACGAAACACGTGCAACAATTCCCAGATCATGATCAAATGACAAAAATCACCAAACGTACCCAGTGTTCTTCTTTCTGCTAACATAGTAAGCGGTCTTCCAATCCCTCATGTTGGTCGAAGAGAGCGTAGCAAACGATCAATGGGTCCGCTCCACTATTACCCGAAGCTCTGTTTTATGGACGCATTACCTTATCCGCCAGCTTTTACAACTTGCGTAGCATGGTTGCGACTACTTAATGTGAAGCGATTACTGTAAAGCAGATACCCGAAGTATACTGCATGGCTCCTCTACGCCGCTATAAATGTGGCGTTCTGTATTGCATCCGTGCGATTGCCTTAGGACTCGAAGAAGCTCACATCATACGC